TATTGTTCAACAACTGGTCGACATTGGCACTCCAGATGATGAATTTTTGGCTGTAATAATGCTAAGTGGATTATCACAATGCTATGATCCACTAATCATGGCACTGGAAAATTCTAATCTGAAATTATCTAGCACCAATTCGTAAAAATGAAACTATTACAATGAGGATTTCGACGGCGTAATGGCGGTTTAGGATCTCGGCTGAGACAGTGTTAACGGTGAAACGTCAACAGAAACCGATAAGGTGTTTTCGCTGTAAGAAACCTGGACATTATGCAAATGATTGTCCTAGTAGGTTTACTAAGAAAACCGAAACATCCAGCGGTTCATCGGTAAAGGCTACGATGGTATCTGCTTTATCGACGACTGTACGGCAAGATGCGTTTTACATTGATTCAGGCGCGAGTTGTCACATGTGTAATAGTGTCGATGTTTTATCTGATTTTGTACCGGATGAAAGTGTAGAAGTTACTGTAGCAAACGGTGAAATACTTCGTAGTGCGGGTCGTGGTAGTACAAACTTTTTAGTCAAATACGGGATTAAAACATATAAATGATGTATTATTTGTACCGAATTTGTCATATTTGTTGTCAGTCAACGCATTGACAAATGATGGGTATAAAATTTTATTTTCGTGTGATTTTTGTCAAATTCTGCTAGGTGACAATATTATAGCGACTGCACGAAGGAGAATGGTTTGTATAAATTACAAATGTGTGAAGTTTCACGTAATGTTCAGCATAGAGTAACTGGTGCAAAATTTGTACATTTCGATCTTTCTCTAGCTCAAGAGAAGAATGCGGTGATATTGTCATTGCCGTCAACAATAGATATGTCAGCGTTTCCTGTGTCGACTGGTAGGCGTGTTGATCAAAACACGTGGCATCGTAGACTTGGACACCTGAATGCTAAAAGTATGGGATTACTGAAGCGTGGAATGGCAGATGGAATTTCGTATGGTAATGAGTATGAACCGTGTGTTACCTGTATAGAGGGTAAGTTACCAAAATTACCTTTTCCGAAAAAATCATTTAATAGAGCATCTGACGTATTAGGGTTGATACAAACTGATTTGTGTGGACCCATGCCTAAAAGTTTAATAAACGGGGCTAGATATTTATTGACTTTTATTGATGATTTTTCGCGGAAGACGTTTGGTTATTTCATCCAAACCAAGGATCAAGTTTTAGATTGTTTTAAAGAATTTAAAGCACTTGCTGAAAATGAAATGGATAAAAATATTAAGGTTTTGAGAAGTGACAACGGGAGTGAGTATGTAAATAATTCATTTAAAGATTTTATGAAGACCCATGGTATACGCCATGAAACTATAACTCCGCATTGTCCGCAGCAAAACGGCGTAGCCGAGAGGGCTAATCGGACTATTATTGAGTCAGTTAGGTGTATGTTGCGTGAAGCAGGTCTGGGTGATGAATTTTTGTGAAGCCGCCAACGGCTATTTAAAAGAATATATACAAAAGCTGTACGAGGTGTTACACCGCAAGAAAAATGGAGTGGTCAGAAGGTAGATATTCAACATCTTAGAGTTTTTGGATGTTTAGTGTATGCAGTTGTAAATAAACGGAAAAAATTAGACTCTAAAACGAAGATGTTTGTGTTTATAGGTTATTGCGAAGCGAATAAGCGATATCGTTTAATAGATCCAGCATATCCTACTAAGGTGATCGTTCAGAGATGTTGCATTCCTAAAAATAAATTTATCAAGGATGCACTTCCTAATCTACAACACGAGATAAGTTACCTTTGGAGATCATGTGGATTGACAATGCCACTTTACAGATTTAACAGCATCCATTGCTAGAGCAAGAAACTCCAGACGTTACTGGTTGTCAATTCCAAACCTTAGATAACTTAGAAGAGAATCAATCGTCCAATTTTGACTTGAATACGTCAGATTCAACGTACCTGCTTCATCCATCGTCATTTGATACGGATGATTCGCCAAACTTTATACCGGTTGAAGATGCTATTCACTCAGCGTTTTTTATAGGTAAGAACGATGACGATGAACCAATGAATTATCAAGCCAAAAAGTAGTTTGAGGCTCAACAATGGAAAACAGCAATGAATGATGAATATCAATCATTTTTAGATAATGCATTTGTTGGACACTTTTTACCACCTAAGATATGTTAAGTGTAAATGGATTTTTAAGAAAAAAAGGCCTGAATGGAGAGATTTTACAATAAAGGAACGTCTTGTAGCGAAGGGATATACACAGAAATATGGTGGGACTATTTCGAAACCTATTCGCCAGTTGTAAGATACTCTACATTGAGAATGCTATTAGCTCTAGCAGCTGAATTTAACATGGATGTTGACCATATGGATGTCAAAACGGCGTTTTTAAACGGTGATTTGAAGGAGATCGTATATATGGACATTCCAGAGAATACCTTGAAAATAGCACAGCAATAAAGCCTATCGTTTATCTCTGTATATTTTAAAAAAGCGCCAAAATCTTATGTTTAATTTGGTTCTTGTAAATAAATTAAAATTTAAAAAAATATTATATAATGTGTGTATTTGAGTGGGAAAGATAAAATAGTTATTATAGCTTTATATGTTGATGACATTTTTCTTTTCAGTAACTGTGATAAAACTAAGATGGTGGTAAAAGATCTGATAATGAAACAGTTTGTCATGAAGGACCTTGGGCCTTTGAGCGTGTTTTAGGAACAAATCTGTAAGAAGGAGATACATTTATTCTGAATCAATTAGTTATATTCAACGAATTCTGAAGAAATTTAATATGACAGAATGCAAGCCTGCTCGGACGCCTATGGAAGTTGGTATAAAACTTGAAAAATATTCTGAATGAATAAAAATTTGGACTACAGGAGTTTAATTGGATGCCTGATGTATCTAGCAGTGTGTTCTCGTCCAGACATAGCGCATTACAATTTTATTATAGTCAATTTAATAATTGTTATTCAGAATTTCACACAGGCGGCGAAAAGAGTTTTACGTTATTTAAAAGGGTATTTTTTATTGTCTTAACTATAAACAGTCAGGATTAAATGTTACTGGTTACACGGATGCAGATTAGCTGGTGACGGAGTTGATCGGAAGTCATACACTATGTTTTCAAAAACAAAAATTCGATAACATCGTCAAAAAAACAACGCACTGTAAAATCGAGCACCGTCAGAATATATGGCACTTTCTGATGCTTGTAAAGAAGCTGTATATATTAAATCTTTTTTGAATGAGGGCAAAGTTAGTACACCAGTTGAGATTGTTATATTTAATGATAATCACACAGCGCAGAAATTGTCTGTGAATGCAATGTTTCATGCGAGAACTAAACACATTGACGTGAGGCATCATTTTATTAGAGAACAAAATAAGCTGGTGTGCTGAGCATTAAGTACCTGTCAACTGATCAGATGGTTGCTGATGTCTTATACAAAGCCTCTCTCTGTTGAAAAGCATCAAAAATTTGTTTCGGAATTAGGCTTAAATGTTGTAGACAAATGCAGTTGGTTGACAACTGTATTATACAGCGCGTTTTATGTGTTTGTTGACTATTATTACCATTGCGATTAAGGCGGCGTGTTAGAGTATATAACCTCAATGGTATGGTAATATTAATTCTTTTTATATTTGACAGTCTACTAATAAAACTTGAAGACCGATGTTTTTTCGTGTTGCAGATTATTTTAATTTAGCTTTATCCAACAGTCTTTAGATTGCTCGTGTCTAAACTACGGCGCAGTATTATTAAATGTTGGCAGATAATCAAAGTATTTTTAGAGCCATACTTATCTATTCACGCACTTTTTGCTACGTGGATTCTAGTATACTCAGCGAAATAGGACACATCGAGAGTTACGTTCACCACAACAACAATAGGGGTCAAATGCCTCTGACTACCTCATTAAGAATTAAAGCTAAATGCACATTTTTTTTTGGTTATAATTCGAAGTGAAAAATAATCACTAGTAAAGTAAATTCTGAGATAAGAGCACTAAGTAGAATTGTTTTATCTTCTTGCCAAGTCTTTTGCGATGTAGGCAGTGAGAATGATGGTACATTTTGTTCTCTGCCCGTTTTCGTAACGCGTTCTCTGGAGACTCTTCGTCATCAGATGGGATACAATCTATCTAATCTATACTAGTAAGTATACTATCTATAAAGAGAGAAAAAATTTACTATAGTTTTCGAGTTTATGCATTACAAACAAATAATGTTTGTAATGCATAATTTCAAAAATTACTCAACCCATTATAAACGACTTATACATAGCGTTGGATATAAAGAAGGGTAAAGGACAAACCTGGTTCACGTAGTCCCCGCGTGTAGGTCTTTTGTACGCGTTCTCGTTCTCTCTTCTAAATATCCAACATTTGTGTTGATTTTGCTTAAGTACCACTGTATGTTGCGCGGAGATCGCGGCTGATTGACTAATTCGCAACTAATGGAGATTTTTCGTGATCTTAGCGGAACTTGATCAGCTCGACACGCAGTTGGATTATAGACTGATTTTGTCCATCTATCCCCCACTGTGATCCCAGATTTGATAGGAAATATGGATAGGTAAGGAGGGTAGAAGGATATTGCGTTCGGAAATGTACAAAGCATATACATATGATGAGATTATATATACCACATAGGCTGTATATTATTTTAGAAAATTATATCCATCCGTACGTACGTTATATATTAGTTTAGTTTTAATCCGGTATCTGCTTTCTTTATTTATCTAATGTCCTATCCACATACCCGCACTAATGTAGCATACCCTTTTTCAATCTTACATTTTTTTTTATACAACTTAGAATGGCAAACAAGCTGACGGCCCAGCTGATGGAAAGTAGTAACCGTCGCCTATAGACATGAGCAGTACATCTTACATATTACAATATTTTCTTTTAAACCAACTTGCTCTCACACCACCGAGGTATTTATTTTTTAGTATCTTCCGGGATGAGTATTTTTCAATGCTAAATAGCTACTGTTTAATGAAACACACAAGTTAACTATTGTATCTAATTAATTTATTTGAACTATATAAGTGAACACGATTGTCGACAAACAAAAATGAAAATGTGACACATTTGCTTCGTAAATGACCAAATATGACATATTTGCTTCATAACAGGACCAACTGTGACACATTTGCTTCGTAATGTGACAAATATGCTTTAATATGATAAAATGAGAACATTTGCATCGTGATGTGTTTGCTTCGTCTATGCATCGACTACAATGGGTGTGTCGATTTGTTTAGGCTCGGCGGGAAGTTCGAGACTGATGGACTTGAGTTTTGCGTCATCTAAACTCCAGTCGAAGTTGATGCCGGTCACTTCAGCGATCCATTCGTGGTAGTGACCGGGACGGACGTACGCTGGAATGAAATGGCCCATTATTAATTGGGTTGCTGTCTCTTAGACTAATAAATAGGGAAAGAATGACTTTTGGACGATTGTGGGTGCAAAATATTGCACCCAAAATATTGCAAAAAATTATTGGTAATAACCAATAATTTTTTTTCCAAATTCATCATCATCATATTAGCGTTTAATTGTAATTAACACTGCTGCACATAAGTCTCCCCCTTGGGGGGTTTGTCAGTAGTTGCCATGCTTGGTAGGCGGATTGGCAACCGCAGTTAGGCTTTAGAGATGTTTTAAGAGGGACACTGCTGCCCATGTTTCGGCCTCCCTTAGTCATCTCTCACGACATCCATAGGAAAGAAAGGGGTGGCCTATTCTATGCTGGGACCACACGGCCAATTGTATATTTGGAATGGCTAATAAGTCGAGGGTTTACCTGATGGAACGTGGTAACTGATGCCTATAGACATAAACAGCACCTTGGATTTAATAGTGTACACTATGGCGTACATAGTAAATATTGCCATTTCTGAAGATTAAGATGTTATGCACCCTGTAATACCACTGTTATATCTTATCATTCAATCCAAAGTATAGTCATGTAGGTGGCTTGGTGGCAGAAAAGAGAATACGTATTTTTTTTAGTAATAAAACCATAAATTATAAATTAAACATTACCTGATGGGAACGGACTGTTGCAGCCGGCGGAGGAACCGAAGCTCACAATACCCACCATGGTGATTTGACCATCCTCGTCGACCACTGTGAGAGGACCACCGCTATCGCCCTGGAGACAATAAATACCACAATGAGCTAACCGATTTGGCTTCATCCTCACCTATCATCCCTTACTGGTACATCACTAGCGTAAATCAATAGAGCGTTAAATAAAAAAAAAATATCTTGCCAGTAGTTGCCACACTTGGCAGGCGGATTGGCAACCGCAGTTTGGCTTACAGTAGTGTTTTAAGACGCTGCTGCCCTTCATTTGACGATTAAGTTCCCTTAGTTGCCTCTTACAACACCCTCGGGAATGGATGGGGCGGCCTATGCTATGCTGGAACTACACAGCAAGGATGTCGATTGTCAAGAAAAAAATAATCTAGGTGTGGTATATTACTGGCCATCAAAATATGCTATTTATGTTTTTCTATTGATTTTCTATCTTTTTTTGTTTCTGCACTTCTGACATTCTTAGTCTTTCTTTATCTTCCTAGTCTTTCTTTCTTTATCACATCTTATCGCGGTTTCAGAGATGCTTTCTCCCACGAACACTCAGGTTATGGAATGAGCTCCTTGCCGAGGTTTTCCCGAAAGACTACAGCATGGGGTTCTTCAAAAGGGGGGTAAAGAGGTTTCTTCAGGGTCGGCAACGCGCGCGTAATACCTCTGGTATTGCAGGCGTTTATAGGCTACGGTAACCGCTTACCATCAGGTGGGCCGTATGCTTGTTTGCCACCTCAGTGGTATAAAAAAAAAATCTTATCAGTAGGAAAACACAAATGTTTTCATACAGATAAGATGTGATAAAAGAGAACTTCATAATCAAGCATTTTAATTGTTTACCCGTTTTTTTTTAATAGGCTTATATTAGTTTACCTGGCAGGAAGATTGTGCGGTGTCATTGTAGTACTCAGCGCAGATGGTCCTGTCCTGCACGACGTTACCAGAGTACCAGGTGCGGCACTCCGCGTTGGAGATGCCTCTCAGGAACACCCAGCGGAGAACTTCTGACACTGTGCCACCTGTGTGATAGAATATTGATATGTTAAGCCCAATAAGGGTATGGAGGTACAACTTTTTAGACCTAAGGAATGGCAACGTATGGCCACCACCTGTTTCATAGAAGAGTCTGTGATGCCCATCTGTTCATTTCATCACATATGATTGATCATATCAAACAGTGGTTTTACTTCTATTTATGATCAAGACTTATTAATATTGTTTATGGCAATCATTTCACTATTCTTCCTTTATTTTGATATGTGACTATAATATACGTTAAAATATAGACAAGTGTATCAAAGTAAAAAGTCAAAACCAAGTATAAAGCCAAAATAAATCTACATGCATATAATTTAAACCTCTATACCTTGCATTCCTTTCTTTTTCTTTCATTTTACTTACACTAGATCTCTTAAAGAACTAATAGAAGAATTTGATCCTTCGAGCCGGCTTTAACCAGTATTGAAAATTGTTCAACTGAGTTGTTAGCTTATTTGCCATATTAAATTGTATAAATATATATTTACCGTTCCATGGGTCGTCAGTACGTCCGTAGCCACTGACGGTGAGCACCACTCCGGTGTAGTCCAGGTTGCGCTGGGCGCTGTTCTGAAGGCGGCATGGCTGCACGTAGGCTGTAAGAGATATTTACATTGTTTGGAGCTCCTTATATACAAAACCAAAGATTTTAAGAGGGTGCCGAATGCTTTTACTCCCCCTTCCAGATTTACTTGGTGCCCATGGTCATGTTTTGTGCAAAGACATGAGAGTAAACTATGCTCCTGTTTAAACGGCCAGTCCCATGACTGGAATATATTCCAGTTATAACTTTATATACCTACGCCAAAACTGTATATGTTGAGTTTTCAGTCTCTAAATTGTCAGAAGATTTTATTCTTTGTTCTTTATTGCACTTGTAAATTACATGTATATAATATAATATAGCATTTGTAAACGTTGTGAGAAAGGGTGGACTTATCTCTGACAGAGATCTCTTCCAGTCAACCCAATACAGTGAGAAAGCATGTCGTTTGCGATCTTAAATAATTTTGATGTAACAGGTGGGGTTACCATTCCAATGTCATCCATTACCTATGGAATTACGTTATGGAAGTAGTGGAATTAAAATCCAATATGGAAACTTACGGCCGTAAGGTATGGGATTGTCGATTCCAATCAATGCAATGTCGTCTGTCTGGACGGGGCCGCCCACGATGTAAGCAGGGTGCAAATAAGCGCGCGTGCTCTCAATCAAGTACTGTGGCCGAGTCAGATTGGTCAGACCAGCGCGGATCACGAATGTGAAGCGGCTGAAATGAAAATGCTTTGTCAGTGATTGCATATTTTACAAATAGAAATCTAGAAATTGGTTCAAAAAACTATGATAAATGTCGAGCCTCTCATTTCTTTTTTGATGGATGAAAATGGTATGGTAACCTCGCCTGCGATAACGGTATACGCTGGCGGAGCACCAGTGAAGGGTGATCGATGAGAATGAAAACAGGCCAGTTAGCCCTTCATGATGAATTCATCAGGAATTAACCATGATAGTTTCCAGGGGGAACTCTCATATTAACACGGTACATCAAGTTGTCAAGTAAGCTACAACTGGACACTTAAGTTTTTTTCAAGCGTATTTAATTTCAAATCCATCGATGCTTTCAAGCGACAAGTGAAAGATGTTTTTTTTATACAATTTAGAATGGCAAACAAGCTGACGGCCCACCTGATGGAAAGTGGTAACCGTCGCCTATAGGCATGAGCAGTACCATGGACGTAACAGAGTAGTGTTTTGCCCATGATACCCCCCATGCGGTGCCATTCCTGAGGACTCAGGTATTATTCCTCTGTACCCTGTAAATTCACGCCATATCCCACCCTTCAAACCGAAGATGAGATTAATTTCTTTCTATCTGATTGATTTTTTATTTGATAAATTGGCATTCTTTACTTATCTATTTATATAAATATTTATTTTATGTTATAGTTAATAATTTTATTTTAAAAAATTTGATAATAGGTACTTGTAAATATTTTCCTTAATGCTTTACTTTCTTAAATTATACAATACTATCATACCTACTTGTACAACAATTAGTCCATCACCTTAAGGTTGTCTTGTAAAGATTGCTCTCAGCAATAAGACCGCCTTACTGTACTTATACAACTGTATCGTTGCATTTATTAATTGTCTCGCTTATTACCTATATTGTATAATGCAAATAAAGTATACTCATTCATTCATTCAAAAATAAAGGAGGTTTTCAATTCATATTGATACAAGTCATAATCAATTGGAGTATTTTTGAATCTACAAAACCCACCAGTTCACGAGTATGACGGATGGGTCATAAAATATACAATACTAACTTGCTAGCGCAGTGGGCGGCAGTAATGACCCAATTGTTGTGAATAACGGAGCCCCCGCAGGAGGAGACGCCGCCGGCGCCGCTCACCATGCGCAGGCTCACCTGGTGGGGAATCTGGCCATCCTCAGCCTCCCATCCCGCCACGATGCGGGAGTTGGAGTTGGAAGCTGCGAGAAAAATATCATTGATTCATCCAAAATTTTTGTTATATTACTTTGGTAAATGTATCATTTCTGAGAGAGACTTTGTACAAAAGTCGATTGCTTGGGTACCTCTGTCCCATTCGTGTTTCAACCGTGAAGCAGTTGTGTTTGCATGGCTGTGTTTCGGTTTGAAGGGCGGGATATGGCGTGAATTTACAGGGTACAGAGGAATAACATCTGAGTCCTCAGGAATGGCAACGCATGGGGGGTATCATGGGCGTAACAGTATACTCTGTTATGTCCATGGCACTGCTCATGTCTATATGCGACGGTTACCACTTTACATCAGGTGGGCCGTCAGCTTGTTTGCCATTCTAAGTTGTATAAAAAAAAAACTTTAGTTAGTTGTAGGACCGTAGACGCTATCGTTAATAAGGAGAGTATTCTAGAAGTTTCTACATACCGCTACGAACATCCTCGATGTAGGCAGGTTCGGCTGGCTGACGTATTGGCTCGCCCTGAAAGGTATTAATTTATTTTAAATAACACATAATCTATCGAATTATGTTATCTATAATCTATAAGGTCGCCGGATTAATTGTCTGTAGATAATTAAATAATTACACTACTTATAATTGATATCTGTCAATGAGTAAACATTTATCTGATTTAGGCAAATCCGCAAAGACCTCTTGGGTGGAATACCGACTTTTTCAATGAATTCCATAAATGTAGGTAAAGCAAAGCGTGTAAAATATTATTGTCAGAAACTTTTATAGTTTACTTGAAATAGATAGATTGATACTCTTTATTGTTTCCTCCAAAAGATTACAATCGTAAACTTATTATAAATATAAACAATTACAAGAAATAATCACAGTGAGAAAACAATGGGCGACCTTATCGCTAAGAGCGATCTCTTCCAGGCAACCTTTGGATGGAGAGGAGCAATTATAAACAGTTCGATCGGAGGCACGATATAAAATCTGTCATCGTTGAGTGCATATGGAGTTACATCCAATAATGTAAATGAAATAGTTATTCAATTTGCGGGACTTGTGTGACTCATTCAATTAGACATGCAATAGACATAATAACAATTTGTACGTTTGTTTTGTTACGGTATTGTAACGCGCATTGGATTCGAATAATAATAGAAAGAAAGATATAATTTAATATATAATAAGTACATTACATCAATTTAAGGTCTTCTAGCTGATATAGTCTGTGTTTTTTTTATTTATTTATTCTTTATTAACCACATTACAAAAAATGTCTGGTATAAAAGGCGGAATTAATACTATATAGCATTCTCTCCCAGTCAACCTTTGGTGAAACCGAAATTTTATTATGCGGTGAAAAAAATTACAACACATACAATAGAGAACTACTGCACATTATGATTATATATATATATATATATATATATATATATATATATATATATATATATATATACATACATGAATACATTAAACAAATATTACATAAATATACAAATATGTAATAAAAATACATACATACAAGTATAAATATACCTACATACTTATAGATTATATATATATTATGTTCTGAGGAATTAGGTTTTTTTTTAATAGATTGTAATGGAATGGTAACCCCGCCTACGCTATCGATATACACTGAGGGGGCACTAGTGAGGGATGTTAGGTGAGGATGAAAGCAGGTCAGTTAGCCCATCGTGACAAACTTCAGTAGAATTAATCACGATGGTTTCCAGGAGGAACCGTGTACAGGTCCAGGTCGACCTGATAGGGTGTATTGCTAGCAATCCCTTTCCCCCTTGAGGAATTAGATTAGGGAGATATAGTTAATAGAACATCAATGTACCAAGGGCTACTAGGACGCATAGACATGTGTCAGACATGGATGATAATGGAATGGCAGCTCCGTGTGCTCTATCGGTATACGCTGGCGGGGCACCAGAAACGGATGATAGGTGAAGATGAGAGTTGGTCAATTAGCCCATTGTGACGATTTGACAAGAAATAACCACGATGGTTTCTAGGGGTCGCGTGAAGGTTAAACTGCTAGGGTATATGCTGCTGGCAATGGGGCTGTTAGACCCCATTACTAATAATCCCTTTCCTACCAGAACGATACGGTAGGTACGAACTATATAACATAAGCCTCTTGGGGGGTTTTGCCATTAGTTGCCATGCTTGGCAGGCGGATTGACAACCGTAGTTAGGCTTTTGAGATGTTTTAAAAGGGACGCTGCTGCCCATCCCTTGCTCTCTCTTAGTCGCCTCTTACGACACTCATGGGAAATGAAAGGATGGCCTATTCTATACTGAGACACACACGGCAGTATACTGTTAGCTGCAGTAATATCAGACATTTTCTAATACCATAATTCATACATTCTCTTCTAGCCAGCTTAATCCCACGCCATATCTTTGATCTCCCTATACGACATGACATCTAGTGTTTCCTTTATCTGTCCCATGTAGTTCCTCGGTCTTCCCCTTCCTCTATTCTATGCCGGGACCACACGGCGACGACGAAGATAATAGTCCTCAAAATAACTACACCTTTACTGCATAGTTACTTAAACTTTAGTAACTGATTACCAATTTGTTTTCCAATGTTATTTGCTTATTCACACGTCAGTTATAAGAGAGTCTATCGACTGGTTCTACCAAGCGTTTCCACATTTTCTTCGACCTGAATTAATAGGTTTTCCCGTTTTTTCTTTTACTTACCCGTTTGTTCGTACGTGTGGATTTAAGAAGTAAGAAAATTAATAATACAAACCACTCTAAGGTTTTTGCGTGATACCGGAACAAATAAGTGTATTATATATAATATATATCTATCTATTTATATATATTTACTTATATATATTTTTATTTATTTATTTTTAACTATCGGTCTTTTCAATTGTGAAGACATTTCATTTATTTATTTTTAACTATCACATTTATGTCGATCGGTACACATGTATGACTGTAACTACTAATGAACTGTCAGTTTTTCTCATATTGGGTTTGCTGAAAGAAATCTCTTTTCGATATAAATTCATCTTTGTGCACTTTTATATTCGTTTTGTTTTTTACTTCAATAACATTTTGTGTGAAAAAAAAGACTTTATTTTAATAAAAGAATAAAAATAAGCTAACCGACAGATGGACAGACAAAATCTCTAAAAATTCATGTTTTAACTTTTGGTCTAATAAAGACCTCTCATATCTGTGATTTTACGAAATAATACAATAAAGAATTATTTCCGTATCAATGTATATTCGATACAAATTTTAGACAACTATAAAACAATTGAAGAACTATATTCGAATTTCTTTTTCAATATCGTGATGTCTTAAATAACTCCCATATACATACAAACATCCTCTGGTTACAATTTTCATTATTATATTTTATATTAGCACAAAGTTTTAATGCAATGCAGTATATTATATTCCAGCATGTTCCTTTCTATTATGGGAGCTTGTCTGTCATTCCAAACTCACCACCTTTTTCCTTCACCTTTTCCGTGGCGACTAAAGGAGCTTAATAGTCAAGGGATTGGCAGCAGCGTCCCTCTTAAAACATCACCAATAGCTTAACTGCGGTTGCCAATTTGCTTGTCAAGCGTGGCAGCTACTGCTAAAGTCCCCTTAAGAGAAGACCTATGTTCAGCAGTGGACAGTTAATGGTGGGATAGCGGTACAACTCGCATGCTTGTACATTATTTTCTCGGATCTACATCTAGGAATAATTTTATAATGATTTAAATATATGTTAGTAATGGAGACTGGGAATCCCATTGCTAGCAATATACCCAACCAGGTCGACCTCCTCTCGGTTCTCCCTGGAAACTGTCATGGTTAATTCCCGATGAATTCATCATGATGGGCTAACTGGCCTGTTTTCATTCTCATCTATCACCCTTCACTGGGGCTCTGCCAGCGTATCCCGTTAGCGCAGGCGGGGTTACCATACCATTTTCACCCATTAAAAAAAAAGTATAGACTAATTTCGACTAACACATGTGAATCGATACATACAGCATCCTATATTCTAAGTTAGGATATGATCTATTCGTGAAGAAAATTTTATTCAAATCTGTACAGTAGTTTTTGCGTGAAAGAGTAACAATCATACATACATACATATCTGTCACGCCTGTCTCCCATTAGGGTAGGCAGAAACAATGGAACACCAAATGCTTCGTTTGAAACAAACCTCTTTCGCTTCCTCCACATTCACCAATCTTTTCATACACGCTCGCCGGTTACGGGTACTTTTAATTTGGCCCTTCTTCAGCACGTCGCCTATTTGGTCGACATACGTCCGTCTAGGGCGGCCAGTAGCAAAGTAATGCCAGTAGCGTCTAGTGACAAACATGTATCCATTTATTTCGCATTTATAATACAAATAGTATTAACTCACCTGGACATATCCCAGGGCTAGTAGGAGACCGATCACGTACAAGTGTTGCATGTTTCACAGTTCACCGTAGACTGACAAGTGAATTCCACATTACAGTATTAGTAATTAATAAGGATTATAGCAGACGGACATAATCTTAGCGTGAACATTATCAGGTATTATGGAGAAGAACCAATTAATAATGATTATCAAGATTACTGACGACGTGAATGTCCAAGATAGGGCCAAATCATTTCCGGTAGGTATTACGTTATCCATTATAATATTTAATTCATTCAAGCTGCCTTTAGCTGAGTTTAAAGTGAAGAAGATAAATAAATTGCAATTGTGGGGGGAATGGGATTGTTAGTAATGGAGACTGGGAATCCCATTGCTAGCAATATACCCAACCAGGTCGACCTCCTCTCGGTTCTCCCTGGAAACTGTCATGGTTAATTCCCGATGAATTCATCATGATGTGCTAACTGGCCTGTTTTCATTCTCATCTATCACCCTTCACTGGTGCTCCGCCAGCGTATCTCGTTAGCGCAGGCGGGGTTACCATACCATTTTCACCCATCAAAAAAAAAAAAAATATACGAGTACATGCATCGTTGTCAATATAGGTATTAGATAATATTTAATCACTTTTACATATAATTGCACGTTTTTAAATAGATTTGTCATGCAATAATTTTGATGTACATTGAATAAGCTCCCCTTCCCACATACAAGAGAGTCCCTCTATTGCCTCTTTCAAGAAAAGGTTGAAAATCACATTTTCTTTCCCTTTTTTTTTGTATTTTTCTAATTGAACTGTCAAATCTTAAAATCATAAAACGAAACTTCTAATGTAAGTAGTATATTCATTTATTTTAACATTCATAAGTAGGTAGGTACTATATGTATTAATAGTGTATGTATTTATGTAATATTTTATTATATATTTTAATATTTTATTTAACTGTATATTTGTTTATGTATTATTAGTTGTAGCACTTCAGCTGCCCGCTAACGAAATGCTTTCTTACTGTACTGGGTTGACTGGAAGAGATCTCTGTCAGAGATAAGTCCACCCTTGCTCACAACATTTATAAATACATTATTTTATATGTAACTTACAAGTGCAATAAAGAATATATATAATAAATGAACAAACAATATCTTTTGTATATCCTGGTGGAGCATCAGTGAGGGATGATAAATGAAAATGAGAGAGCAGGTCAGTTAGCCCATCGTGATAAATAAATTTGGAATTCAGCACGATGGTTTCCAGGGGGGACTACGTGGAGATCGACCTGACGGGGTATATTGCTAGCAATGGGACTGGTCGTCCGCATATTACAATATAGAATCAACTCCCAGCTGTAGTATTTCTGAAGGGACACCATAATGAAACGCATATTACCCTTCGTGTGTTGTCATTCCTATGGTGTTACGCCCCCTTACCCTGTGATGGCTGTTTCGGTTTGAACGCTGAAATATGGTAATGAATAATTTCATACCCTCTGTACCCTGTAATCAGGGTACAAAGGAATAACACCTGAGTCCTCAGGAATGGCAACGCATGGGGGGTATCATGGGCGAAACAGTATACTCTGTTTTATCCATGGTACTGCTCATGTCTATAGGCGACGATTACCACTTCACATCAGGTGGGCCGTCAGCTTTTTTGCCATTCTAAGTTGCTAAAAAAAAATGTGGCAATAAAATTACAGGGTACAGAGGCATAATGGGCGAAACAGTATACTCTGTTATATCCATGGTACTGCTCAAGTCTATAGGCGACGATTACCACTTCTCATCAGGTGGGCCGTCAGTTTTTTTGCCATTTTAAGTTGCTAAAAAAAATGTGGCAATAAAATTAACCATAATGGGCAAACAGTATACTCTGTTATATCCATGACTGCTATGTCTATAGGCGACGATATATATATATATATCTCTGGCTAAAAAAAAATAATAAAATTAATTAGAGAGTTCATGTATACTCTGTTATATCCATGGTACTGCTCATGTCTATAGGCGACGATTACCACTTCTCATCAGGTGGGCCGTCAGCTTTTTTGCCATTCTAAGTTGCTAAAAAAAAATGTAGCAATAAAATTACAGGGTACAGAGGCATCATGGGCGAAATAGTATACTCTGTTATATCCATGGTACTGCTCATGTCTATAGACGACGATTACCACTTCTCATCAGGTGGGCCGTCAGCTTTTTTGCCATTCTAAGTTGCTAAAAAAAAAATGTGGCAATAAAATTACAGGGTACAGAGGCATCATGGGCGAAACAGTATACCTGTTTTTCATGGTAGATTCTTGGCGACGGTTACCACTTTCCATCAGGTGGGCTGTCAGCTTGTTTGCCATTAAAAAATACTGCTTTACGGCAAAAACCAGTAATTGTTTATGCGGATTTATGTATAATATATATATATATATATCTCATATATATATATCTATATCTCTTAATATATATATATATATATATATATATATATATATATATATATATATATATATATATATATATATATATATATATATATATATATAATTAATATTAATAATTAGAGAGTTGTAATTTCCGCTTGCGCAATTGGTTTTCGCTGGTGGGATACTAGTGAAGGATGGAAGGTGAGGACAAGTTTGTTATATATTGATTCTTCGTGATTCTAGAATTAACAATTTCCAGTTTATTGCTAGCGATGTGGCCGCTAGTTCCCATTACTAACAATCCCCACCACTTAGTTTTGGTAGATTTCGGTGACGGTTTTGTAGAGTATTAAAAAAACGGTACAAAATGTAATTGTTTTATTTTTACAACTAAGTACATATTGTAGGTACAAAATATCACAATAGTCTTAAAAACTAGGTATATATATACATATATACATAAATATAATTATATTTTAATGTTTATATATTGAATTCATGACAAATTAACATGTTGATGTACCTCCATTATATTTATTTATATTTTATAATAATTTAAATACAATTTCGATTATTTATATTATATTATATTATTATTCATATTGTAATATCTTTAAAATAATTTAATTATATTTTAATGTTTTTCAAACACAAGGCATGCTGTAGTTGCCTATAAATGTAAGAACAGTAAGATCTAATCTGCCAAATAAATATTATAAAGACTGACACATATGTAATATTGATTAATTACTACACAATATTTGTAACAAAATACATATATTTAGTAGAAACGCTGTATTTCTACCACAGCTTTTATTTATGGTAGAAATACTTCCATTTCTGCTAAATACGTTTCGATTCACGAACTGATATTTGACATTTAAAATTCATTTAAAATACTTTGATTTTGTCTTCAATTAAACATAAAAATTCAGGATTTAATGAGACTAAAAAAGACTTTAAAATTATATTCAAGTCGTATTCATTTATATAATCTGGCAGCCCTGAATAAAAAAGGGAATTCAGTAATTATAATTCGTGTCAATTTATATTATAGAATAAAATAATTTTGGTCGTATAAAAATAAATATTTAATGTTCAGTAATCACTGGGAAATCCACCACTGTGTTGTGAATCCATTAAAATGCGTACATTAAAACGATGTGAACTTTGAGAGACACTGCGTACCAAATAAATTGGCAGCTGACGATCACAATTCTGTCACCTTTGTCATTGTTCCATTACAATAATTTTATTTACACATTTTTAAAACAATAAACAATATTGCAGTCATGTTAAAATTAATTTAAAAATAAGTACAGTTAAAGTACATGGTATATTAATAAAATTTTGTTATAGCAATACTGGACTTTAGGCTAAATTTACGAGAAAATTCTTAACTTTTGTTATGTTTGATCGAAATTGGACAATCTAGGCATCTTAAGGTGCATATTATTTATATGTTCTTTTCAATATAATTTAATGAAAATAACCAAGTTTTGTTGTCCAAATGAAATTTGTTACTAATCGAAACATCCAAACAATTAATATGACATTTATTTGTAGTATAGGACATCAGCAGGCCATCCTCATCATCTCAGCTATTATTCGACCACTGCTGGATAGGCCTCTCCCATAGACTGCAATAAGTAACGGACCTGAGTCACCTGCATCCACTGACTCTCTGCAATGCATTTGAGGTCGTCACTTTACTCTAGTGGAGGGTCGTTATACACGTTTGCCCATACGAGGTGGCCACTCAAGAACTTTTCCTCGGCAGACCGTCTTATGGTCGACTAATTATAAATTTGTTTACATTTTTAATTAAATTTTATTGAAATAAATTATAAATACGTTTTAATTTTAAATAACAATTTAAATCACTTGAAAATGTTCGCTGGAGGAAATCTCTCATTAGAGATAAGCTCCACTTTGTCACAATACGTTTAAATATATTTGTTCTTATCATTATGTTTGTGTACAATAAAGAATAAAAAATGAAAGAAAGAATAAAGAAATACAATATTCGAACAACTAGTTAGTACAATATAAATTTTAGTAATACGTAAAATGATTGGTAGATTTTTTTAAACCCTTTTAAACATACCTGTATCTGTAATTGTATTTGAATTTGTCCTATAAATGTTATAAATATAATTGTTTGTAAAGATGCTTCTATGTTTGTTATTCAATCACACTTAAATGGCTGAACAGATTTGAATGAAATTTATTGTTACCTCCATATCTATTGTTAATATAATAGGAAAATATATAAACAAAAATATACAGGACACAGCCTGGTTATATCTAAAATATTGGAATTCGCATTAAATGCATTGTCTATAAATCTACACTTACTATATTTACCTAAACCAAAGGTACATATATTTTACTAAATATATGTAAGCTAAAATTCCAATACCTATATGAACACTGAAAGGGTTTTTTCAATAATAAATTAATTAAAATAAGGCAAAGGGTTATAGGTATTTTTTTTATATCTGAACGGATAACAAATATAATAAAAAAAAAAAATTACATAAATAAAAACTGTGATCACTCATAGGTCGCTCTCCTATTTTTTAAAGTAATAAATACTTAAGTACTCATTAAGTACTTAGACGAAATATAATTAATAGAATTTTTCATACATTTATATTCGATTTTACAAAAATAAAGTGTTTACTACTTTATTTCATATAAATATCATTATTGCCATTTATTGTCCTTATATATTTGTATTAAATTCGGTCATACAACTTTAATTTTTAATTAAATAAATTTCTACCATTTGGTAGTTAAAATAGTCTAAAGTAAACTATGATAATTATCTTGGGCGGTGTGTCAATTGATAGAAACATTGATATAATCCAGGTAAAATTTCATAGTTTACCTAAATGATTGCGTAAATTCCCATCTCTTATGATAATAAAAGTTTTTAGTTAATTATAAATTGTAGGAACAATTCTGTTTCTACCAATTTCTACCATCTTGTTTCGTGATAAGTCCAAGAGATAATCATGTTAATTTATACTCTTCGGTTATTAATTGAAGCTTCAAATTAGTAGAAACCGCGCGGGACGTGGGACACGATTCATTCACAATATCTAACTTATGTTTAAAGCGAGTATTAAGTAAATTGCTTTGTGTAAATGATGGGATCGACACTGGTAGAATACTCCTTTCAAATGGTGTTAATTATTTCGTATCCAACATGTAATAAAAATTGTGTTTTTGATTTCCGCGCATTGATTGAGAAAAGTACTATACAAGCCTTGGCCACAACTAGTCATTGATGGACTCACGTATGTATGCCTCGGCTACGCCTCGGCCCACATTTGCACGTTCATCCATCAGTGCCTCAGTTGCTGGCCGCTGCAGTAATGTACTATATTTCAATTAAATAATTGACGTTGATTAAGTTCCAAAAATGGAATATGAAAAAATGTATTTAAGTACGTACTAACACTTAGAATATATAGATAGAGCATCGAGTGTTAAGAACAGGTTAAAATTTTGTCAGCCAAATGCCATCTTGGCTGATTGAATTTTGATACATTTTTTAAACAAAAACAATGTGCTACTTTTTATGGTAACTCTATTAACAATTGGATAAAAAAGTTGACCTGTTTTTGACGAAGTATTTTTATTGAGATACTCTATCTATATAGTTTAAGGGGTAACAGTCATTTAGTACAATGCAGTACATATATATTACAAATAAATAAAAATAAATTTGTACTAATATTACAATGAGGGAATATTTGATTGTATGCTTGTAATGGAACTCAGAAACAATTTAAACGTTTTTTTTTTCTTTTTTGTATTCCTATATGAAATGCTGAACAATTTTTGTGTTTTCTATTCTAAACTAAAAGCTAGTATTAAGATATACGGAACTTGGAAAATCCAAGAATATAGTTCCATCAATAATAAAGTGGCTCCCACACAAGCGTATTCGCGTTCGCGTCCCGCGCGAGTTTCACGTCAGTGTGAGCGTAGCTTAATAATGTATTTCTACCATTTCTACTACCTGTTTCTACCGATTGCTTCATTCCGCTGTCACGTCATAGTGACGGTGGTGGTGACGTCGTGTCGCTTCGCCTCCAGCACTTTGTAGTAGACGACCGCGTCGTGAACGGTTGGGAATGTGTCCAGTTGCAGTCGATCTGTTTCGAGAGAGTTATATCTCTCTATCATTTCTAGAACTGGACCTGGAAGTTTTTTTTTTTTTATATTAAACAAAAACAATTGTAGTCTTTTACAAATCTGTACTACTATAGTATAAAGCAAAAGAGTTTGTTTGTTTTTTTGAACACGCCTATTTATGGAGCAATTAGGCGAATTTAAAAAATATTTTTGCATCTGATAACTCATTCCTTGAAGGTAAGAAAGGTAGTTTGCGACCACGAGCGAAATTACGGGATAAAGATAGGTTTTTTGTATACCACAAAGGTGATAAACAAGTTTACAATTCGGATGATAGTTTACAGGGCCAGAAGTTTATTAAAGTAGGTACGAAATAGAAGAGGGGAAGAGTGAAATGAGTACGGGGAGTAAAGAAATAGATGAGAAGGAGCAGAGCAATGGGCAAAGGAGTGAGAAAATACGCGAGGAGGAGCAGAGAAATGGGTAAGGGAGTAAGGAAATAAGTAAAAGGGAGATCAGTATTCTTACCATTGGCGCCGGCGAGTAGCAGCGTGATATTGCTCGCGACAAGCTCGTGGTGGATGGAGACCAGCGTCTTGATGCCCGGCGCATCCACGTACGACAATGCGCTCGCGTCCACTATCACGCAGTGTACCTGCAAGGTAAATATAATTTTTTTATTTAATTAACACTTGTACTGAAGATGATTGGATGAACAAATAAATATTAGTGGAAATGCTACGCAACGCCATCTAGTTTTGAACTTAGCAGAGCTTGTAATGTGAACTAGAAACTAGACAACTGAATTGATCGTTTTTGATTACAAAAATATTGGTAACTCCATAAAACAGAATTTAAAGTCACCTTCTGGTTTACAATATACATCTTCTGGTGGTTTTAATATACAACTTAGAATGGCAAACAAGCTGACGGCCCACCTGATGGAAAGTGGTAACCGTCGCCTATAGACATGAGCAGTACCGTGGACATAACAGAGTATATTGTTTCGCCCATGATACCCCCAATGCGTTGCTATTCCTGAGGACTCAGGCGTTATTCCTCTGTACCCAGTAAATTCACGCCATATCCCACCCTTCAAACCGAAACACAGCCATGCAAACACAACTGCTTCACGATTGTTATTAATATACTTTCTTTTTTTTTTAAGTCTGCTGAGGATATTAATACTCACTCTACTCCCAATTGTAGGGTCCCATTCGTACGACTCGCTTCTAGTCAGGTTGTTGTCCTCGTCGTGGGAGAGCTCGGCTGGCTTCATGTAGCCAATTTTACGGAAGAGAGTCGATCTGAATAAGTTCTTACTGGCGAAGTTGAGGCCGCCGCAGTAGTGGAATATCTTGATGCCTGGCAACTCTTCCGCCTGATGATATATGTATGTATATTTTTTGTATCAGGTAAAAAATTAATTTTTTTTAAGAATAAAAAAATAATTTTATAAAGATATTATACTAAAATATAAATATGTAATTCTATTTTTTTTAAACCGTCATCGAGCATCTCAGCACATTCAAAGGTTGACTGGTACAGAATGTCTATAGCATTAATTCTGCCTTTTGTATCACATTTTATTGTTTAAATAAATAATTAAAATACTATTATATTTTTTAATTTATTTATGTAATTAAAAATAATATTAAAAACATAATATTATTGCATTTTTATATTTTTAAATGGTAGAGGACAAAATAACATTTGTTGACTTATCTGTGAATTACCTAATACATGAAATAGCTTTTTCTTATATAAATTATAACTAAAAATAATTAATATTCAATTAAAAATCGTCTTTGTTCATATAGACTTGTTTATAAACTTTTTAAAAAAAATTAAATATTTTATATAGATAAAGAATCGTACCGAAGCTAAATATTGGTAAAAAACATAGATTAAAAACATAGGTTATAAACAATGTTATACGGCCGTATAACCCTACCAAATTCAGATAAAACTTGCTTGCATACTTTCTACATAAACTGTGTCGAATATATAATCTAGTAATGTAAATGAACAAAAATTTTACATACACTAGCCTGCTATGAATTGAGAAAAATAACAGCTGATGGTGTATCCGTCGTCCTCTTTTTACTAATTATATTTGCATAAGAAGAAAGGAGGCAACCATATGATTTACAGTTTTTATTTTATCATTCCTTCTATTTAATTCCTTGTTCTTAGGACTATAGATAGTTCTTTGAGTAGTTCTAATATCATAATTGACATTTTCTATTTTTAAACTGACATAAATGTCAAATGTATAATTATTATAAAAATATAAAAAAGAGCAAATAATATTAAAAAAAAAACATATAATGTGGATTCTATTTTAAATACTTTCCATTTGAGAAAATAAAAATGATTTAAACTGATATACACTTGTAAAAATAAATATGCATTTATTTACAGACAGGAGGTAAGACAAGATTTATTTCCCGCGGATTTGTCCGCGATGCATCAGTATTTAAAGTATCCTATACTAGCGACCCGCCCCGGCTTCGCACGGGTGAAATGATAAAAAATGTGTTTATTTACGACATCACATTAGAAACCTCTAAATTTATCAGTGTTCCTCTACAATATTATGCATGTATTATACATATAAACCTGCCTCTTGACACACTCTATCTATTAAAAAAAAAACCGCTTCAAAATCCGTTGCGTAGTTTTAAATATCTAAGCATACATAAGGACGGACAGACAGCGACAGCGACTTTGTTTGTTTGTAGTGATAGTGGTTTTGAGTTAGAATGTATTCCATCCGTGTATCTCTAAAAGCCTAACTGCGGTTCCCAATCCGCTTACCACGCGTGGCAACTACTGGCTAAACTCTTCTTATGGGGAAGGCTATGTTCAGCAGTGGACAGTTAACCCTTCTTTGCATAATGGTGGAAATTTCCATCATAATATTGAATGTCCAAAAATTATTTAAAAGAACAAGTTCACTTTAAGTTGATCGTGTCCGGATATCTTTTTAATGTCGATTGCAGAAAAAAAACAGCTGTCTTTCTTAAACATTTTTCCTTCAATTTTGAACATGAATTATATCACTTTGATATATTTCACCAATAAAAAAATCATGCAAAGAAGGCTTAAAAGTTGTTAGTGATGTGGGTAGAAAAATATGGGATTTTACTAGAGGAAGTTAGTACAAAAGTCGTTTGCTTGGGCACCTCTGTCCCATTCGTGTTTCTACTGTGAAGCAGTTGTGTTTGCATGGCTGTGTTTCGGTTTGAAGGGTGGGATATGGCAGTGAATTTACAGGGTACAGAGGAATAACACTTGAGCTCTCAGGAATGGCAACGCATGGGGGTTATCATGGGTGAAACAGTATACTCTATTATTCCCATGGTACTGCTCATGTCTTGCAACGGTTACCACTTACCATCAGATGGGCCGTCAGCTCGTTTGCCACTCTAAGTTGCATAAAATATAAGATTTTTCCTTTAATATTGTAAATGGATATCTATTTATTATTTCAGGTGTCCATACACGCTGGGGTATCAAGTCAGCGTTTTAGGGGTACTTAGATGGTGCATATTTGTTGGTTTTAACGTAATATTTATGTGTTGCGTACAATATTTTATACTGTCGATCCGTGATGACAGCGAGATGGAGGTGATAAGCCGCGGCATGTTAATGTCACATGGAAATAACAGAGAATTCAATATAACAAGTTATATAACATATTTATATATAAAACATATATATATTTAATATACAATAAATGCTTTTTTTTTAAATATATCACCCGTTAATTGTCCACTGCTGGGAATAGGCCTCCTTCATAAGGAAGTTGTTGTTATTAGACGCCACAACCGCAGTCAAATTATGTGATGTTTAAATAGGGATGCTGCTGCCCATCCCTCGACTGTTAAGTTCATTTAGTCGCCTTTTAAGACACCCATGTGGTGGCCCATTCTACGCTGGGACCATACGGCGATATCAACCATACAGTATAGAAGTTGTATCAATTAAAAGAATAAGAGGTTTTATAAATATAAAAAAAAAATTACATTTAAAAATTTAGGACTAACCCAAATCAATATTATTAGCCAATATTTTAGCTAAAACGATTTTTTTATACAACTTAGAATGGCAAACAAACTGACGGTCCACCCGAGGCCCCGTGCGAAGCCGGGACGGGTCGCTAGTATTAAATAAATATATACATACATACAATATGTATGTATTTACATACATAAATAAAATATTACTACATAAAACAACTGTATTGCTATTGCTTTATTTTTCCTCAACTTGTTGTTTTTGTATTTTTTTTTATTTTTTGTACATGTATCTTTTTTTTTTATTTTTTTTTTTACTGTGCATTTCTGTCTGTTGCTGCTTGCGTGCTGTAAGTGATGCAAATAAATTATCTATCTATCTGTAACAGAAGAGCAAATAGTAATCTATGACTCAAACGGAGTAACCAGCCGAAGTACTGGTAGTATTTATTTATTTATTTATTTATACTTTATTGCGCCAAGTAAAAAGAGAAATAACAAATACAGTAAATATTAATGGGAAGCGATACAAAAGGCGGCCTTATCGCTAAGTAATCTCTTCCACACAACCTTTGGGTAGAGGACTGTATCGTCCCAAACGGCGCTTCAATCGATCGATTATTCGATTCTTAATCGAATGTCCACACCTCGCGGATATGAAGCGATTACATTAAGTTGGAGGGCAGTTAGTGAACTTGTCCTTGCACTCGGCTTGAGATCACGTACCGTCGCGAATCAAGAGCACAACCGAACAGTGATCTAGGAGATCATCATATTACAGATAAAATATTGTGTATTTAAAGATTTGTGTAGGCCTACCAATCAAGCATCTATAACAGCATCCAGTCAAAGGTGGAAAGCAGTGCGGCGCATGAGATTCCTTCAAGTAAGTGCACGTACCTTCTTAAATATTGTAATCGCTTCATCCTCATTATCAGAAGTAAGGACAAACGTATTTCCACCGCTCAACGGTGTCCCTACAAGGACATTGAGAAAAAGACAAAGGGGAGGTGGCGCACTATTATATAAATATTATCATATACAAACATATATACATACATACATACACATACATATATAATATATACACAATTAAATATATACATAACATACACATACTTAACAGCACACATACAATAGAAAAAAAAAATGACGAAGGAAAACGAAGAGAGAACATAGGAGAATAGTACTAAAGTGAGAGGTAGTAAGAGGTAGTATTTATCACTTGCTTTGTATATTTGTCACTTGCTTTTCGATCTAAGAGGACTAAATATGTCTTAGGACTTACCGCTCGGTACCTCTTGATGTCCAAATAGAGATCGGTGTTGAGGACCCGCCCCAACAGGCACGTGTAAGGCTTCTGGGCGCGGCAGAACAACGCGCCCACGCTCGCCGCCAGGCCTGCGCCCAGCCTACAACGAAATGGGATTTATTCGTGGCTAGTTGGAACAGGCGGCTCTTTTTTTTATACCACTGAGGTGGCAAACAAGCATACGATCCACCTGATGGTAAGTGGTTACCGTGGCGACGGTAACCACTTACCATCACACTTACAGTACCACTTACAGTAGGCGTATAGACACGAGCAGTATCATGGACATAACAGAGTATACTGTTTCGCCCATGATACCCCCCATGCGTTGCCATTCCTGAGGACTCGGGTGTTATTCCTCTGTACCCAGCAAATTCACTGTCATATCCCACCCTTCAAATCGAAACAAAACTGCTTCACAGTAGAAACACGAATGGGACAGAGGTGCCCAAGCAAACGAGTTTTGTACAGTCTCCCTCTGGTAAAATAATATAATATTAGGTCAACCTCCACGCGGTTCTTTCTGAAAATGATAGTGTCTAATTTATTGTTGAATTCGTCACGATGGGCCAACTGACCTGTCTTCTCATCCTCACTGGTGCCCCGCAAGCGTATACTATTAGCGCGGGCGGGGTTACCATTCCATTGTTATCCATTGATAAAAAATCCAGTCAAGTGTGAGTCGCAACTAGTGGTTTCTTACAAAATTATCAAGTAAATTTTTTGTGAAATAACTACAAATTTACGTTTTTCGGATTTAATCCTCTATTTGTATCACATGACATTGCTTTTTGCCAAATTTCATGATTCTAGATCAACGGGACGTACCCTATAGGTTTTGATTCCCTTTGCGAATGTCAAAATATGGAGGTATCTTTTCAGTGCGTCAATGTAGAAGCTTGATTTTTTCTCTGCTTTAAGAGATTGCAGACCTGAGTATATGATATTAATTTCAACTTGACACCACCACACGTTCCTAAGAAAAAGAGTTTTAGCAAATGGACGGACGGACGAACAACGAAGCGATCCTATAAGGGGTTCGTTTTTTCCTTTGGAGGTACGGAACCATAAAAAACTCACCCAATATCGATGTTGACCAGCACGGTGACGAGGAACGTCACCAGCCACACCACCGCGTCCAGTTTGCTCAATTTCCAAAATCTGAAATGGAATTTAAAAATTTAAAAGTATTTGCTGATTTACAAAATATAATAACAAACGTTGCCTATTCCTTGGTTAAGCTGGTGACGAGAGTGGTGGGGAGGGGGAGGGGGAGGGGGATTCTCTATATATACTTCATCACCATCATTTCACCCACTACCCGTCCACTGTTAAACATAAGCCTCCCCCATAGACTGCCATAAAGAACGGTCCTGAGCCACCTGCAGCCACTGACTCCTTGTAACGCATTTGAGGTCGTCGCTGCATCTAGTTGAAGGGTGGGTTCGTCCACTGCGTTTGTCCATACGAAGTCGCTACTCAAGAACCTTTCTTACCGCTCCCGTTTGTCGGTCCTTCGAGTGGCCATCTCCATAGCCCCCTGAGTAATGTGAAGCTTTTGCATACTGGCAACCGTGTAAGACCACGTTTCGGTGCCATAAGTCATCACTGGCAGCACGCACTGGACAAACTACACGGACAAAGCCGCAGGACGCAGCTAGTCTTACTTCATACGCCAATGCGGGTCATTATACTAATACACGTGGGCAATGCCGCGGGACACAGCTAGTCTTACTTCACACGCCAATGCGAGTGGGCACTAACTTGGGCAACTCCTTGACTTGCACGAACATGCCCTTGAGCGAGACGACGATGATGCCGGCGAGCACGCAGCGCGGCAGCTGCTCGAAGAACGGCCCCACCCACAGCAGCACGCACAGGATCAGCAGCGCCGACACCACCGATGTTACACACGTTTTGCTGCCCGCCTGTAGGGTGAAAATTCGATTTCTTTTTATATGTTCACATACATACAAAAACACACGATGTAGATGTAGGTGGTAGAGCCACGCTGTAATACCATATGGTATTGCAGCATGAATGGGCCGGCTCGACCGGGGAAGTACCACACCCTCACAGAATACCGACGCTAAGTGGCCGCACTTTTAGTGCGACCACATTCCGTATGGTGAGTGAGGGAGTCCGGAGGCCCATCCTATACCCATCCCCTTCCTTATCCTAAAATCCTCCCCCAACTCCGTCCCCCCATCTTTCAATACCATGGCAGTGGAATTTAAAAAAAATAACGTACCCCAGGGAGGTACCAGCAGCCATGTTGCTGGAGAATCCTCCCTCGAGCAACCACGCTCGGGCTGCCCTGCGTATTCTGGGGGGGGCAAAATTCCGCTCTATGGGACCAAGGGCAAACAGAGCAAGACTTCTGCGGTATCCCCTTTGCTCAATGTGAGCCTCTGTAATATTAGGGGATTCATTCAAACCTGAACGCTGTCCACCACCACCTAGAAACGGCGCGGCCGGCATTGCTCTTCCTCACGGAGACACAGATATCCCCTCCTAACGAAACATCATACCTGACCTACCCGGGGTATAAGCTTGAACATTGTTTTGTTTCGCGTGCCGGTGTATGTGCGTATGTCAGAGAGGATATCTGCTGTCGACGCCTTGGGACTCTTGAAGGTACGGACCTGTCCATTCTATGGCTGCGCGTAGATTGCAATGACCATCCCCGCATCTATGCGTGCCTATACAGGTCCCACAGCGGTAACACTGAAACCGACCAACTAATTGAGCACGTCCAAATGGCTACAGATTCCCTGCTTGAGCAGATTCCTTCCGCTGAAGTCGTGATTGTTGGCGACTTTAATGCCCACCATGCCGAATGGCTTGGTTCGCGTACAACCGACTATGCGGGAAGATCTGTTCATGACTTTGCTTTGGCTTATGGTCTGACACAGCTTGTTTCCTCGCCTACGCGAATCCCTGATGTGTTGGATCATTCACCTTCACTGCTGGACCTTCTGCTGACCACCCACCCAGACAACTATGTGATCTCCGTCGAAGCCCCGCTTGGATCGTCGGATCACTGTTTGGTGCGGAGCGAAGTGCCTCTTACGAGTCCGACTTCACCTCGTTCTACGGGTAGACGTCGCATTTGGCACTACAGGTCGGCGGATTGGGATGAGATGCGGATTTTTTTCGCATCTTACCCATGGAGGCAGGTTTGCTTCACACTGGATGATCCCGACGCCATTGCCGATTCCATTGCTGATGTGGTGCTTCAGGGAATGGAATTATTTATTCCTAACTCTGTGGTGCCCGTAGGCGGGAAATCCCAGCCCTGGTATGGAGCCTCCTGTAGAACAGCATCTCGTCTGAAACAGGAGTGCTTCCTAACCTGGGCTAAAGGTGTGGCGTCGCGAGATCCTAACACCAGTGCTCTTAAAAAGAAGTATAACTCTGCCTCTAGGTCTTTCAAAAGAGTTATAGCCACAGCGAAGTCAGAGCATATTAGTAGAATTGGCAAGAGACTGGCTAGTTTGCCCTCTGGGACTCGAGCTTTCTGGTCTCTTGCCAAAGCTGCACAAGGGAATTTCTGTAAGTCATCTTTTCCACCTTTGCGCAGGGAGGATGACTCGTTGGCCCAGAACGCTAAAGAAAAGGCCGATCTTCTTGGATCCATCTTTGCGTCAAACTCGACATTGGATGACGGGGAGAAACCACCACCGACCATCACGTGTTGTAGGAGCTCTATGCCTGACATTAAATTCACGCATAGCTCAGTGCGTAGAGCACTTTTCTCTCTCGAAATCCATAAGTCGAGTGGGCCTGATGGTATTCCTCCAATTGTGCTTAGGACGTGCGCACCAGAGTTGGCTCCGGTTCTTACGCGTCTTTTTCGGCTTAGCTACTCATCGGGCATAGTCCCAAAGTTTTGGAAGACTGCTCTGGTGCATCCGATCCCTAAAAAGGGAGATCGCTCAGATCCAGCTAACTATAGGCCCATAGCTATCACTTCCTTATTCTCGAAGGTTATGGAATCCATCATTAACCGTCAACTGCTCCGGTACCTAGAAGAGCACCGGCTGATCTGTGATCGCCAGTATGGCTTTCGACAGGGACGTTCGGCCGGTGATCTTTTAGCTTACTTAACACACCGATGGGCAGTGGCAATCGAGAGTAAGGGAGAGGCCTTAGCAGTTAGTCTGGATATTGCGAAGGCCTTTGATCGGGTGTGGCATAGAGCGCTGCTTTCAAAGCTACCTTCATTTGGGTTGCCTGCGAGACTGTGCATTTGGGTCGCCAGTTTTCTCAAGGAACGTAGCATTAAGGTCGTAGTCGACGGTGCATGCTCTGATTTAAAACCTTTGAATGCTGGTGTCCCGCAAGGCTGTGTACTATCTCCGACTCTGTTTCTTCTGCATATCAATGATATGTTACAGATAAGTAATATTCATTGCTATGCGGACGACAGTACAGGAGATACATTATATACCGGTCATGCAAAGATCTCGCGGGCACATACCGATGAGTGCCGGAATAGACTTGTGTCTGAAATCGAAACTTCACTCCATCAAGTTTCGATCTGGGGTGAACAAAATCTTGTCCAATTTAACCCCAAAAAGACACAAGTCTGCGCGTTTACCGCAAAAAAGACGCCGTTTGTCGTATCTCCTCACTTTCAGGGCACTTCCCTTGATAAAAAGTCAAGTCTAGGAATTCTGGGCGTTGATATATCTTGCGACGTCCAGTTTTGCGGTCATCTGGAGGAGAAGGCTAAGATAGCTTCCAAAAAGTTAGGAGTGCTCAATAGGGTGAGACGATATTTCATGCCAGAACACCGCCTGAAATTATATAAAGCCCAAGTCAGGCCGCATATGGAATACTGTTCTCACCTGTGGGCAGGAGCGCCACAGTACCAACTCCTTCCGTTAGACCGCATTCAAAGTCGGGCGGCTCGAATTATCGATAGTCAACGCCTTACTGTCCGACTTGACCCATTGAAACTGCGCAGAGATGTTGCGTCTCTGTGCATCTTCTACCGAATTTATCATGGGGAGTGTTCTGAGGAATTGTTCGGATTGATACCTGCTGCTGATTTTCACCACCGTACAACCCGCCACAAACTAAAGTTTCATCCCAATCATCTGGACGAGTGGCGGTCTTCCACCGTGCGTTTTTCAAGGCACTTTCTTCCACGCACAACCATTCTTTGGAATCAACTTCCAGCAGCAGTATTTCCGAACCGATACGACAACATAACCTTCAAGAAAAGAGTATATTCCTTTTTAAAAGGCCGGCAGCATACCTGCAATGCCGCTGGTGTTGTGGGTGATCATGGGCGGCGGTAGTCACTTACCATCAGGTGAGCCGCATGCTCGTTTGCCCCCTGTGTTGTAAAAAAAAAAAAAAAAAAACACACACACACTACACACACGCCCGCACGCACGCACGCCCTGTCAGCGTAAAGTTAACGGTTGTCGTGGGGGATTTGAAAAAAAAAAGGAAATCCACTTCTTGAGGTTTCCAAGCCTGAGAAGAATATGATTTTACTAGTTACCTTGTACAAATATTTTTTTTTTTACCTGGTATTGTATGTAAGATCTGGACAAACTGGCGCAGAATGGTGCGCAGCAGAAGAACGAACCGAAAACATTGCTTGCACCCTGTTCAATAAAATTCAACAAGTCAGCTATAAAATCTTACTAATTCTCTTGGGCTTTGAGGGTTTCCGAAATTTCAGGGTTATGGTGTTTTTTTTTTGCATTCCTGAGGACTTGTAATTTCACTACCATATCTCAACCTTCAAGCCAAAACACCATTCAAGCGTAGCTGCATAGTGGCAAAGATACGAGTTGGATAACGAATATCGTGTATAACAGATTGTGTTCTGAAGAATTCTTTGACATGATGCCTACAACCGCCTTTCATCATCGTACCACTCGCCATCGGCTGGCAATCCATTCTCACACCTTAGAACCAGAATGGTTCCTTACAGTGCAGTTTTTGAGGAGTTTACTCTAGCGATTACTCAGATTGTGGAATGATCTTCCTGCCGAGGCTTCTTCACTACACGAGAAGATTACAGCATAGGGATCTTTAAAAAGGGTGTATTAAAGTTTCTTAAGATCGGCAACGACATCTCTGGTGTTACAGGTGTTCATAACTTCGTTTACCGTCAAACGGGGCGTATACTTGTTTGCCATCATAGTACTAAAAAAAACCTTGAAGATGACTTTAGATCATCAGACCAACAGCTTGATTACCAGTAAATTATGACTGTACTTTTAAAACCGTGCTTTTTAAAAGACCAATATGGATTCTTCGTATTTTTTTAAGGTTTTTAGTCCACCTGCGCTATCGGTATATATTGGCGGTGCATCAGTAAGGGATGATAGGTGAGGATGAAAACAGGCCAGTTCGCTCATCATGATAAATTTATGATCCACGATGGTACTTAGGAATGGCTGAAGGACGGTTTTCAAAATGATTTTGTGCAATCCCTTCCCCCCAATCCTTCGTGTTCAAGTGTTCTTGAGCCACAGTAGTTCTCTTCTCGTCAGCTCCTATATTTCCTTGACATTAAAAAAAACTTACCAAAGCCAACAGTTCCTGGTTGGCGTCGATCTCATATTTCTCCTTGGAGGCGAAGATGAGCGCCATAGACATGGTTATAGTGTATGTCACGATGGTGATGGTGAACACATCGATGGCTATGCTCGGCAGCAGCTCCACTGGCGGCACTTGGGGTACAGGCAGTCTGCGTTGGGAGGGAGAATATTTTGAGTGATTTTCGCAATCATCATGACTTGACTTTTTCTATTTATTCAGGGTTCGACGCAGTATGTCTTCGTCTTCCATTAATACCTGTCAGCTGTCATTTCCGGGTTCACTCCTCTATTATGCATATCATCTTTCACACAGTTCATCCACCTTTTCTTCGGTCGTCCTCTTTCTTTCCATCAATTCAGTTTAATATTTAACACTTTCCTTAAAATATGGTTTACATACAAGACCATATCAAGATAATCTACAATTTTGAGTGATTTTAAGAACTTTTAAGTAGAGGAAATATTTGTATTTACTGCAGGGTCAATACAAATATTTCCTCTACTTCCTCAAGGTCTTTATATAGACATTAGCTGAATTGGAAAATGGTGTTTTACCCCCCCCCCCCCCCTGCCATTTATTGGGACCAGTATTTTTTTTATCGAGATAAAACTACCCTGTTTTTCAAGTTGGAGTAAAATTACACGTTCAGCTAATTTCATTAAAATCGGTTGTGCAGTTTCGGAGATTAGCGTGAATAATAAATAATAATAAATAAATAAATATACAGTCAAATCACACAGATTGAGCTAGCCCCAAAGTAAGTTCGAGACTTGTGTTATGGGATACTAACTCAACGATACTATATTTATAATAGATACATATATAGATAAACATCCAAGACCCAGGCCAATCAGGAAAAGATCGTTTTCCATCATGACCTGGCCGGGGATCGAACCCGGGGCCTCCACGTCGCAGGCAGGCGTGTTGACCGCTGCGCCACGGAGGACGACATAAACACTGTGACACAGGTTTTTACACATTAAAGAAATACATATAATACATACATATGTATGTATGTATTTTGGATATAAAAAAAATCTATATTTGTATTGTCCATATACTTTTTATTACATTTTCTTTTTAACCAGTGTGTGGAGTTGTTACAAACAATAAATGACGCACTGATCCCCCCCCCCCCCCTCCCCCGAAAAACATTATGATCATTCATCCTGGTGAATTTATCACGAACAGCTAACTGACCAGCTATCATTCTCACCTGTAATTCCTCACTGATACTCCGCCAGTACAAATCAATAGCGCAGGCGGGATTACAAAATACTCACCCCGTGGGTATGTTTCCGACCAGATTGATCCCGTACCGCTCCTCCAGTCCGCAGAATTTGGACACAATGGTGCCAAGTACTATGGCCAGTAGCTCGATTGGGACCGGCACACGGGAACGCTTGCTCACCCATGGCTGTTCACATAACAATATTACCCATAACATTCTCGGTATGACCAATCAAGGGTATAAAGTTTTTAGAACAGACTTAAAATTCTTTAAATATATATATGTATATAATACTAGCCATTTCCCGCGGCGTTGCTCGCCTCTAACTATATAGTTCTCGTATATCATTCCCATTAGAGCTTTTCATGAATCCAATTTTATATTGTATTATATACTTAAATGATAATTACGTACTTAAGGCCTTCATACAGTTTCAGCCCATTTAACTGATCTTGAACTTTCTGTGTTTCTTTAGATTGATATAACTTTTTTATTTATGAACCGATTGTAATAAAATAAACACTAAATATTAAGTGGAGAAAACCGCAACGCATTAGTGAAAACCGCATTTCAATCGATTAAGCCGTTTCCGAGATTAGCGTGCACAAACATACAATAAAGAGACTAAAATTCTAAAAATCATTGTTTTGGATTCTATTGCGTTTATAAAACCCCTCTTATAATAGTTTTTCTTATATATCTTCAATGTACAGACACCAACCGGTTACAATTTTATTATATGTATTGAATAGTTCAACAATCTGGGCCCATAACATGTTAAATTTAACAGTAAACCTATTCAATTTCACAGGTTATAGGCCCAGAACGTCTTCATTATGTGAATTTACATCTACAATTTATATTCACCTACTGACTCTTATGCCTATGTTTAGTAATGGATGATGGACAGATTGTAATGATGATGACGTATATCATCTATAGGTGATATATTACCTTGAGGAGTTCGTTGTTGAGCGCGATCACGACGCACGTGATGCAGGATATGACCACCGCAGCCACGTTCAAGTTTGGAAGGCCTTTGCTCACTTCGATCACTGTCTGGGGAGGAGTTTACATAGATTGGAAATTTCTACATTCCATGTGAAATTTTAAAGCTTGGCAGCTACTGGTAAAATCTTTCAACAGGTGCCTACATTCAGCAGTGGCTAAAGACTGTTATGACGATGTAAATTTTCAAAGAAAGTGTACAACATGCCAAATATTAATAGTTGTAGCAATTCAGCTGCCCGCTAACGACATGCTTTCTAACTGTATCGGGTTGACTGGAAGAGATCTCTGTCAGAGATAAGTCCACCCTTGCTCACAATATTTATAAATGCTATATTACATGTTTTTTTTTTATACTACTGAGGTGGCAAACAAGCATACGGCCCACCTGATGGTAAGCGGTTACCGTAGCCTGTGAACGCCTGCAATACCTGAGGTATTACGCGCGCGTTGCCGACCCTGAAGAAATCTCTTTACCCCCCTTTTGAAGAACCCATGCTGTAGTCTCTTGGGAAAACCTCGGCAGGGAGCTCATTCCATGTAATTTACAAGTGCAATAAATATACAACATGCTTTTTATCAGAGGAAGACTGTACACAAATTATTTCCTTGTATAATCGTGTTTCGGTTTGAAGGGCATAGATGGATAAGGTAGAGAAATTATAGGGTATTGAGGTTAATACTAGCGACGCGTGACTTTACGAATCCGCAATAATATCGACTGAGCAATTTATTCGGATTGTTCGAATGATTTTCAAATTATTCGATTACTATTTTAATTCGACTGTCGACTTTATTCACTAGACAGTAATAGCTAAAATCATTTATTAGTAGTTGCTCGTTTACGAGTCCGCACGAGCATAGCCGAGCCGCGCCGATCGCTGGAATTTCCTTTTTGTTTATGGTCAACAGTGTTGCCAATTTATATTTAGTAGAAATTAGCAATTTTCGATATTCATAATTAAATAAAGCAGGAAAGTAATAATTAATTTTTAGTAATTAATTATTATGTATATTGGAAAAATTTACGCAGTTGGCTGCTTTTTTTTTTTAATTTAGTAGTTGAATTATAAAATTAGTAATAACTTACTGTCGGCTGTCGCACGCATACTAAAGGGTTCATGATAGGAGAATTAAACAAACATAATTTTAATTAATTAATCAGAGACATGGAATTTTGTAAGATAACACCAGAGGGAGACTTTGTACAAAAGTCGATTGCTTGGGTACCTCTGTTCCATTCGTGTTTCTACTGTGAAGCAGATGTTTTTGCATGACTGTATTTCGATTTGAAGGGTGGGATATGGCGTGAATTTACAGGGTACAGAGGAATAACACTTGAGTCCTCAGGAATGGCAACGCATGGGGAGTATCATGGACGAAACAGTATACTCTGTTATGTCCATGGCACTGCTCATGTCTATAGGCGACAGTTACCACTTTCCATCAGGTGGGCCGTCAGCTTATTTACCATTCTAAGATGTATTAAAAAAAAGTTCAGTTAAATATATACAAAAACGAACTTACAAAAATGATTTTATAGTTCCCTGACAGTTTGGGTATCTTGACCCCGAAGAGGTCCTTCAGTTGCGAGGCGAGCACGTGAAACGAGGCAGCGGTGGTGAACCCTGACACCAGCGGCTCGGACAGGAGGGACGACACCGCGCCCAGTCGTAACACCCACATTAATATCTACAAATAATTGAAGACTTGTCTCACAAAAAAAAAAAAAAACAATTTTGACGTAACCAGTTATTTTGATTTAAAATACAAACTATAGATGTAGGTTTGTTTTATTACATTGTTTTTGTAATTAATAATAAGATAGGATACCTGTACGCAGGAGATCCTATGTACAGGAGATCCTATGTACAAGAGATCTTATGTACAGGTATCCTATCCTATTTTACTAATATAATAAAACAATTTTTTAGAATGGTAAACAAGCTGACGGTCCACCTGATGGAAAGTGGTAACCGTCGCCTATAGACATGAGCAGTACCATGGACAGACATAACAGAGCACACTGTTACTGTATACATACATACTAGCGTATATTTTATATTGATACGCCATTTAGAAATAGTCTATTTCATTGGTTTTCTTTCCTACATCTGAAATCCTCGCGTACGAAGTAACAGTCATCATCAAAGAGCTAGTCATCATCATCAATAGAGGCTGACTACAAAAGCATATCTAAAACCTATTTATGTACTTATTTACGCCTCTAGTCCCATTACGTACCTATTATGCACTTATGTACTTGTGTGTACATATGCACCTATGTACTTATGTGTACATATATACTTATGTATACTTACGTACTTAAATGTAACGTACTTAAGTACCTATGTATTAATTAATTAATTACTTCATTCATTAATTAATTCACTAATTTATTTATTCTTTATTGACCACATTCCAAAAAAGAATTTTGGTACTTAATGCTAGGTATATAGCATTCTTTTCCAGTCAAGTCCCTTGGCAAAACAGAAATGTTTTAAAATGCGGTGAAAAAAGTCACGCGGATTAAGCCGCGGTATTAACCCTTTTTCGCATGATTTTTTTTATTGGTGAAATAAATCAAGCTGATATAATTCATGTTCATAATTAAAGGAAAAATAGTTAAGAAAATAAATTTGTACAGCTATGTTTTTTTTCTGCAATAAACATTAAAAAGGTGTCCAGACACGATCAACTTAAAGTGAACTTGTTTTTTTATATAATTTTTGGGAATTCAATGTTATGATGGAAATTTCCACCATTATGCAAAGAAGGGTTAAAAGTATCTGTATGATCACCTGAAATATTCCGACAGCTAGGCAAACTATACTGAGCACTTGTAGCGGCGTGTACCCAACACCGTCCAGGGTTGACGCTGCAGACAAAAGAAAATAATTAAAACCCTCAAAATTAAGACAGATAGGTGGAACTGATACGAGAAATTCATTAATATATTCATCAGCCCTGGATATTCTCATGGCAAACAAGCTGACGGCCCACCTGATGGAAAGTGGTAACCGTCACCTATAGACATGAGCAGTACCATGGACATAACAGAGTATAGTGTTTCGCCCATAATACCCCTCCCCCCCCCCATGTGTTGCCATTCCTGAGAACTCAGGAGTTATTCCTCTGTACCCAGTAAATTCACGCCATATCCCACCCTTCAAACCGAAACACAGCCATGCAAACACAACTGCTTCACGGTAGAAACACAAATGGGACAGAGGTACCTAAGCAATCGGCTTTTGTACAAATTATATTTAAGTTTATTTGAATAAAAGTTGATGCTTGGTCAAGTTTTCTATTAAGTAACTTGATACTTACTTGAAAGTACGCTATTAGTCGAATTCGTTAAATCCATATGTATTGTTGCGTGCTGAGTGACCACCTGGTAACAGAAAAAAATTGCATTTAGAAAGAGAAAGTACAGTTAAATCTTTATTCACACTTCCTTTATTCGCGTTTTTACTATTCGCGGTTTAAAAAATTGCAACTCAATTCCTATATTCACGGCTAAAGATTTCTATATTCGTGGATCTCTAATCGGTACATATTATTAAAAAGGATTAGGTATATTTTGTAAACGCGTCGGCAAATGGACTAATAAAAAAGTAAAACAGACCTTATTACAACTATGCCTAAAGTACGTTGTCAAATGCTATCGCTGCTGTATAAGTGGTTCGGCTTTCTATATTCACGGTTTCTGTATTCGCGGTATATTTACGGAACGTATACGCCCTCGAATAAAGAGCTTGTACTGTATATTAAGATTTAAATTATTTAAACTAATTAAATGACATTTCTCATTAAAACTAATTAAATCATAATTAAAATTGTGTTTCACTAAACAATTCATGATAACAATCTTTATTTTTTTTTCACAGAACCAGTTATTTTGGTCTAAAAATTAAACTGTTGAATTGATTTTGATATAATTCCTATGGGACTAATTTGTAAGTATATCCTTTAAAAAAATCTCCAAATCGGATAAGAATTGACAGAGTTAAGAGGTAACAAGCAATTGCAGTCGTACCTGTTTGTATTTTTATTCTATTTTGTTAAGAGAGTGACTGGCTGAAAACCAGCGCTGTGCAACTGTACACATTGCACTGGGACACTCACAGCATCAGCTGAGTCAGTACCTTTTGCTTAGTATAAGATATTTCGTATAATATTAAATATTTTCTATTCTTAAAATACATACATACATACATATCTGTCACGCCTGTCTCCCATTAGGGTAGGCAGAAACAATGGAACTCCAAATGCTTCGATTCAAACAAACCTCTTTCGCTTCTTCCACATTCATCAATCTTAAAATACAATCTAATTGAAACCCTCCTTTTCTTTTAAAGTCGGTTGACAAAATAATAGTCATTCAGAAATGATTGAGTTAATTATAAATTTACCTTTCCTGCCATAAGACAGGCAACAGCGAACGTCCCCATGGACACATGGGGGGAGGTGCCGAAGATCACGTACACGAGTACGGGAAAGAACGCCATGTATAAACCAACTATTGGAGGCACCTCCGCTAGTAGCGCGTACGCCATACCTGGTAACAATAAAGGATGCATTAAAATCGGTCTAACCGTGTAGGTGCTACTTATGACGTCGCATACAGACAGACAGATAGATAGGTCGTGTGTTAAATATGATAAACCATTAATATAGAATGGTTATCCTTACTAATATTAGTCACTTTTTACTTTATCCGAGCAGTAAGTGCTTTATATTATTCTCAATTTCGTGTATAATATAGTATATGTCATATATGTGTAAGTATATTTGTTATTTATATATATTTATTCGTTTATATATGTAATTTTAGTATGCATGTATATCAATAAATTAGTAGTACCGCATTCGAGTAGTCGGATTTTTTTAATGGGCAACAATGGAATGGTAACCACGCCTGCGCTATCGGTATACACTGGCGGGGTACAAGTGAGGGAATCATTCCTCCCCGGTCTCACCTATCAAGTTGACGATGAAAGCAGGTCAGTTAGCCCATCGTGACGAATTCGACCAAAATTAACGACGACGATTTCCAGGGGGAACCAGTGGAGGTCGACCTAATAGGGTGTGTTGCTGGCAATGGGTCAGTTAGAGCCCATTACTAACAATCCCTGTCCCCCTGATAGTCGGATTAGTACGATGATGACGATGATTCAAATAATTACTTAGTTGACATGAATGTTATATATTTTTTTTTATGATATAACAAAATAACAAACATGTCTACCTTGAGGTATATGCATGACGGCGGTGGTCGCGCCGGCGACCAGGTCCCCTACGAGGTCGCGCTTCAGGCTGTATCTGGGCAACCATCTCGCTATGGGCAGAGAGTTCACGATGCAGTCCCCGAAGCCGCAGCTGTTCACTACCTTCTTGCATTGATAACGCACTGTTGATAACATGTATGTTAATAAAATAATACCGGCAGTTACATTAACAACAATATGGAATTTTAATATAATAACCATCAGTTTAACCTACGTGTAATTATATCGATAAAGCTCGACTAGTTTCGGAACCATTCGGGACCCTTAATCGTAAGCGGCTTTGACGCGAGCGTGAGCCTGAATGCGCACCTCGGCCTGCTAAGCGCAAGCTGTAGGCGTTCGCGGTAATCTCACAGATTAAAGGGTCCGAATGGTTCCGAAAGTAGTCGAGCTTTCGCGACCTAATTATAAGTAAGTTAAACCGGATGTTATTACATTCAATTATAACGACTATTTTTTTATGCTACTTAAAATGGCAAACAAGCTGATGGCCCACCTGATGGAAAGCAGTAACGGTCGCCTATAGACACGAGCAGTACCATGAACAGAACAGAGTATACTGTTTCGCCCATGATACCCTCCAAGCGTTGTCATTCCTGAGGACTCAAGCGTTATTCCTCTGTACCTTGTAAATTCACTGCCATATCCCAATCTTCAAACCGGAACACAGCCATGCAAACAACTGCATCACGGTAGAAACACGAAAGGGACAGAGGTGGCCAAGCAAACGACTTTTGCACAAAGTCTTCATCTGGTATTTAGGAGACTTTTAACAATAAAATATGGAATTTAGTCAATTAGAGCGTTAATTGACTGAGACAGATTTATTTTTTTATATTGAACCCTGGACGGTAAACTAGTTTGGTGAAAAAGAAATTCTAACCAGACTTTGTACAGAGCATGTCTCATCTTTTGGGAGCAATCAATTGGTTGTTCCAGTCGTATCTTGGCTTGAAAGCAGGGGAAATTGCGGGTAACTGAGGATCAAGATCTTAGATTGTTTTGACGAGTAGTCAATAATCCTTAGCGAAGTGGTAGACACATTGATTTTTATAACGTTCTCAGTTCGATATTGGTCGAAATAATTTAGGAAATACTTTCCTATTTGGACTCTGGTTTGGGTTTTGTGGTATGATTTTAAATGTTCATTGTCGAATTAGACATTGATAGATGGGAATAGTGGAACCTGAGGGAGACTTTGTACAAAAGTCGTTTGCTTAGGTACCTCTGTTCCACTCGTGTTTCAATCGTAAAGCTGTTGTGTTTGCTAGCTGTGTTTCGGTTTGAAGGGTGGGATATGGCAGTGAATTTACAGGGTACAGAAGAATAACACCCGAGTCCTCAGAAATGACAACGCTTAGAGGGTACAGAGGAATAACAACTGAGTCCTCAGGAATGGCAACGCATGTGGGGTATCATGGGCGAAACAGTATACTCTGTTATGTACATGGTACTACTCATGTCTATAGGCGACGGTTGCCACTTTCTGTCAGGTGGGCCGTCAGCTTGTTTGCCATTCTAAGTTGTACAAAAAAAAACTGTTACACGTATGCTCTAAGACTCTATCAAAAAAGAATGCTTAGAACTGCAATCTCTGGCTGGATCATGTCAGCCAGTTCACTGAACATAGACCTCTCCAATAAGGGTTTTGCCAGCAGTTGACACGGTAGGCGAATTGGCAACTGTAGTTAAGCTTTGGTGATGTTAAAATATGTTGCCATGACTAATAGTTTAAAGCAGGTATGATGAAGACAAACTTAAATTACATTAATGATTTACACCTTAGATGATTATAATTCAAGTTTTTAAGGGTGCGCGACACCTTTTATGTTGGAACCTTCTACCATCACATGTAGAGGGGAAAGGAATTGTTAGCAATGGAGTTTGACAACCCCATTGCTAGCAATATTAGGTCGACTTCCACGTGGTTCCCCCTGAAAACCATCGTGAACAATTCTTGTTGAATTGGACACGATGGGCTAACTGACCTGCTTCATCCTCACCTATCATCCTTCACTGGTGCCCCGCCGGTGTATACCGATAGCGCGGGTGGGGTTACCATTCCATTATCACCTACTAAACCATCACATGTATTATATGTAATATATTTGTCATATTTGTCATCATGGTGGCATAAAAACAATCTGTTCCCTGGTAATACTCACATGGTTTCTCAGGAACCTGATAGTCGGCGTCCTTATTGAGTATATCCTGCTGATATACACGTCTCACCACGTTGAACTGTTGACTGGGTCGCGCCTGTGCCCTGGGGACAATAAAAAAGGGCTTCAAAGTCAAGTTCAAAAACTTTTAGACTTTTGATGAACGGCTTTTTTATACTTCTTACAATGGCAAACAAGCTGACGGCCCATCTGATGGAAAGTAGTAACCGTCGCCTATAGACATGAGCAGTACCATGGACATAACAGAGTATACTGTTTCGCCCACGATACCCCCCATGCGTTGCCATTCCTGAGGACTAAGGTATTCCTCTGTACCCAGTAAATTCACGCCATATCCCACCCTTCAAACCGTAATACAGCCATGCGAACACAACTGCTTCACGGTAGAAACACGAATGGGCCAGAGGTGCCCAAGTAAATGACTTTTGTACAAAGTGTCACTCTGGTAAAACGGTAACGGTGAGATATGGCAGCGATATAGACTTGGATTTTCATTAATCAATTAGTCCCAACGTTGTTGCTTAACGCTCCTTATCTATCCTCTAAGGTATTTAGCCTGAAGTTAGACATCTATCTTTAACCATTTTTAATTGGATTACCTAGTCCAGATAATAAACTATACTGTTATTTTTTGCATATACAAAGGATCCCCAGAACTTGGATTATCTAGTCCAGATAATAAACTATACGGTTATTTTTTGCATATACGAGTACAAAGGATGCCCAGAACTTGGATTATCTAGTCCAGATAATAAACTATACGGTTATTTTTTTTTTTTGCAAATACAAAGGATGTCCAGAACTTGGATTATCTAGTCCAGATAATAAACTATACGGTTATTTTTCGCATATACAAAGGATGCCCAGAATTTAGATTATCTAGTCCAGATAATAAACTATACGGTTATTTTTTTTTTTTGCAAATACAAAGGATGTCCAGAACTTGGATTATCTAGTCCAGATAATAAACTATACGGTTATTTTTTTGCATATACAAAGGATGTCCAGAACTATCTGAGTGATCCAAGGTCCAGATTGAAAAAAATATGATTTGTATAAAGCAATTGTTTTAATCCCCTAACTACGAGTAAAAGATCTCATGAATAGCAAAGCATGGTACATGGGCGGAATAGTGTATACTGTGATGACCATAGTTGTGATCATATCTAGCCGATGAAAAGTGATAAACATCGCCTGTTTATCACTTTTCATCGGGTGAGTAGTCAGCTTGTTGAAAAAAAAACCACAACAGAATCTAAGTATTATTAGTCTTTTAAAACCTAAATTTGATATAGATGACATGAAAGAACATATAGTTGCGTCATCTATTTAAATCTATATCTATGTACCTGCTCGTGAATTGAAATGAAATCTCATAAGATCGTCCATTGTTTTTTCACTCTGATCATTTCTTGTAATTGTTTGTATCTATAATAAGTTTACTATTGTAATCTTTTGGAGGAAACAATAAAGAGTATCTATCTATCTATCTAATATAAATAGAGTTCCGTTTCCATTGCGCTATAAAGGTCTATATATAATTGACTTGCCATTCGTCGTCAGTGTCATGGTCCTGCAGCAACGGTTGGTTTTCACTTTCGAAATCATTGTCGAATATTAAAAATGTTTTTTTCATACGCATCGTGTGACGGTGTCGATCAAGTTTGCTTTTTTTTATGTATTAACTATATTGCTGTTTTTTTTTATTTTATTTTGATATTATTTAGTAAAAATAATATTAAATTAGACATAGTTCTACGTGTACACTTTTGTATTAAATTGAACAAAAAAAAATCAATTTTTTTCTGCCACGAAAACCGTTTACAATGTTACATCTTCCAGTTATTTTGTTACGCCTTGTAAGGGCATGTCAATATAGGTAAAGAGTCTTACAATTTACATATATTTAATTAATATTAGTTTATATATAATTTCTCCCCCTTCTATTCACGTGGATGTCGTAAGAGGCCACTAAGGGAACTTAATTGTCTAGAGAGGAGAAGCAGCGTTCTTCTTAAAATATCTCCCAAGCCAAACTGCGGTTGCCAACTCGCTTGCCAATCGTGGCAACTACTGGCAAACCCCCTTATGAGGGAGGCCTGTGTTTCCTAGTGGACAGTTAACTGATATGTTATATAATTTTGTGAAGGCATTACAGATTTAGTATCACTTTTTTTTTTAAATCAGATATTGACATAGTTTTTTTTTTATACAACTTAGAATGGCAAATAAGTTGCCCTGCACAAGATAATACTTGGTTCAGTTAAATATTTAAAGAGTTCAGTTGTAACAAAACTATATTAACAAGTTATATTGATTTAAAAACTAAACTACGTAACCGATTTTCATAAAATATTTATGAAACCAATCAGTAAGTATAAGGATATACTGACATCACATAAAAAAAAAAGACTTTTCTAAATTGGTTTATAATTGACGAAGTGGTTTGGTAACAAACATAAAAAAAATTAAACCGATTTGAGACCGAATGTCATGAAATTGGTATACTATTTAGCGTAGAGAAGGACAAGGAGTGAACAAGCGGGTGAAGTCGCGAGCATTGTTTACATCGTAATTTTTTTTTTCCAATATTATTTGGTTCGCGATTGGGAGATGAGTATTAAGCTTAAGCGTCTTAGTTGACTTAAGCTGCGATTTGATACAGCATAAGTCTCTAGTCTAGCTATTTAATTTTGCACGCGTAATTTATTTTGACAGTGTTTCGGCTGCTTTTACATCGTAATTACTAAATAGGTAATGTACCACATCACGACAGAGTAAACTAATTGTTATCAGGGTCAGGGGTAAAGTGCAATATTAAAAAAAGATATGATGAAAAAAAAAAACTTAATAAAATCTTTATTAACTCTACATGCTATATGGATTTTCGAAATGTACGCAAAAAAAATCTAAATTTATATATTTTTTTTATACAACTTAGAATGGCAAACAAGCTGATATCCCACCTGATGTAAAGTGGTAACCATCGCCTATAGACATGAGCAGTACCATGGACATAACAGAGTATACTGTTTCGCCCATGATACCCCTCATGCGTTGCCATTCCTGAGGACTCAGGTGTTATTCCTCTGTACCCAGTAAATTCACGCCATATCCCACCTTTCAAACCGAAACACAGCCATGCAAACACAACTGCGTCACGGTAGAAACACGAATGGAACAGAGGGGTACCTCTGCAAGCAATCGATTTTTGTACAAAGTCTCCCTCTGGTAAAATAAAAAAATACTAAAAGTGAACATAAGCTTTTCAAACTAAATTAATATAAAACAAAAAATACAGTGCGAATTTTTATATTATATATATACTTAATAGCAATACAAATAAAATTCACTCCAAAATGGACGGAGAAATCGGTGGACATACATATGTAAATAAATATACGGCCAAACACAGAACATCTTTCTTTTTTGAAGTTGGTTAAAATTGAAAAATTAATTAATTATAAAAGTAAAGTTGAGTATACAAGATGAAATTGAAATCATCAGTGTCCTTTGAGGGGGAGTTCAGCCAGCAAAACTGAACATTTACAGCGAAGGAACATGGGTTCGACGACGATGACACGACAAAAACACAGTGAGTTTATTAATCTCCCGTATATAGACATTATATTATGTTACAAAATTGTTATCAAATACACTTTGTTTAACTCTATAATTTAGAATCGTCGACCCACAGGTTAGGTATATCTTAATTTATATTTACACAAGTATATTTCTTGCTAAAGTTTACACTATAAATATGTTTAATTATTGTAAAATACAATCACACATTTCACACACAAATCACAACGAAACGTGACTGCCAATGTAATAGGTACCTTTTGTCAATAGTGTCGGAGATAAATAGCTATTACATAGATATGTAACTAGTACATATTATTTATTTATTTATTTAAACTTTAATGCACAGTAAAGCACTACAACTGCCCACTATCTACTTCCTATGCCACTGCGTTAGGTTGACTGGAAGAAATTTCTTTTAGAGATAAGTTCGCCTTTGCTAACATTGTTATTAACTTATTGTTGTTACTGTATGTTTTAGTGCAATAAAGAATATATATATATATATATATATATATATATATATATATATATATATATATATATATATATATATATATATATATATAAAATTCTATGTACATTTGGCGGACTTAACACCGGACGGTGTTATCTACCAGTCAACCATTAGGCAAATTGAGAATTAAGTATGCATTGTGGTGGTGCATTTTTGAATAGAGAAAAAAAATCAATACTTGATAAATTTATATAATATAAACATACACATAATATATTAAATAAATAAATACATACATACAATAAATAAATACATAAAATATTACTATATAAAACAAATAAAACAACTGCAATAGAAAAACGTCATATGTGTGTATTAAATAGTATATTTGTTATTCATATATATTTATTCGTTTATATATGTAATTTTAGTATGTATGTATATCAATAATTATTAGTACCGCATTCGAGTATTCTGACACTTCCCTATGGTTGACTGGGAGAGAATGCTTTTAGCATTGAGTCCGCCATGTACACATATTTGTACTAATGAATAAATAAATAAATAAATAAGAACGAATAGTAATCTATGACTCAAACAGGGTAATTTAAATTATCTATGTACTATAATAGATACAAATATTTATATTTGTTGTTTTAAAATCTTTATTATATTTATAGAAAAATTTATGACAAATATATATATTTTTATACGTTATTATTTTTATTTCTGACAGATATGTATGTATATATGTATATTTTTATGTATATATTACTATTGTAAGATATATTTAATTCTAAGTATTATTAAAAAAAAAATATATAAATATGTCCAACATTAAGTATATACAATACTTAATGTTGGACATATTAAAAAAACAAAAATTAATATACAATGGCGGACTTACCCATAGAGGGATCTCTTACAGTTAATCTTTGAGAAGCTCAAAGAAAACTATACAATGTTCGGGGGTAAAAACTGTACAGGTAAAGATAATTAGTTGTACAGTTTTTACTGTCGAACAATTTATAGTTTTTTTTTAAT